TACGTGACCCCATTGCAATGGATTAAAAGCATTTTGGATATCAAAGAGTATCAGATCGACCCGTCCCCGGTCAACCCCAATTCTCCGTGTGGCCAAAACACATCAGCCACCGCATCCAGTGTACTTTCCTCGACAGAAACCATACTGTGTCGGAGACAAGCTTCCAGACCGCACCATCAACTCCTTAATATGTACACGCAGCATTACCTGTCACAATTTTTTTATGCAAGTAAGAAGTTAAATAGGACGATATTATCCCGCCTTAAATTTAGACAATTTAGATAGAAGCACAAACCTCGAGATTATTCCAGGAAAATCCAAGCTACCAATATGTAGCCAACTAAGTCGGATAGTGGAGATGCCACCTAGGAGACTTCCAACCTGCCTGGTTTTTGCAGTAGTTCTTTATTTGTTAGTCAATGTTCTCCAGTTATTTTTTAGGCTCCGAAAACTTACTTTTTGTCTTCTCTTCTCAATTGCGTACATTCATTGTATTCATCACATCGAGCCTCTGGGACCGTGAGGGTAGGATTTGGTAGCAGAGCTAGATTCCATTTCTAAAAATTCCGACTTATTTGTCGGGATTAGTGGACATTGCTCAGAGTTTTAGTACAGGTCAAAATTGATAACAAAATGTGCTTTCAAAATCTAATGGGTGTTTTTTTTAGAGATATAGAACTTTAAAATGGAGTAAAACAAAGATAATTTTTTAAATTGACATGAAATATCCAAACGATAATCTTTTGTGTAATCATTATATTTTAAGTATGATTTCTGGTATATGACGGCCACGGTTGGCTCTGACGTAGTGTAGCCTAGAGGTCCAATTTTTAATGAATTTTTCCAACATTTGTGTCCGTATATCGGCAATAACGCGGCGAATGTTGTTATCTGAGTGGTCAATGATTTTAGACTTATCGGCGTAGACTAGCGACATCTTGGAGACCAATTCACGGGTCCAAAATGTTAAACTGGGCTGTTACGAAACATTTCTTTCAATAAATCAATTGTGGCACGAGCTGTGTGACATATTGCTCCATCTTGTTGAAACCACAGCTTCTGCACATCATGGTTTTTTAAATAAAGAATAAAAAAAGTTAGAAATTATGACTATCTAGCGGTCATCATCGACTGTAACCTTCTGGCCTGCATAGTTTTTGAAAAAGTACGGAACCATGATTCCACCAGTTTACAATGCACACAAAATAATAAGTTTTTCTTGATATAGTGATGTTTTAACATACACTCGATAATTATCTTTACTCCAAATCCTGTATTTTTGTTTGTTGACATAGCCATTCAACCAAAAGTGAGTTCCATCGCTAAACAAAATTCGCGTATGAAAATCAGGATCAAGAAGAATCTCGTTTTGGGTCCATTCACAGAATCTATGCCTTCCTAGGTGATCGCGTAGCTTAAATTTTTGCACGAGTTGGTTTTTGTAAGCACACAAACCAAGATCTTTCCGCAAAATCTTCCATAAAGTTAATGGACAAATATTCAACTAATATTTTTATATAATTAAAATATTAATTATCCACTAGGAAACCAAGTTCCTGTAGCTGGCTGTATACCATATATCACAAAAAATTTATTTAAAATCCTTTATGAAAGGTATATAATATATAATCTATGTAGTTGAGCTTAGTATAATGTTTACAGATCTTTTTTTTAATATTTTAAGCTTAAAAGTGTTCTTTAAGTTGACTGGAACATTTCCTGGAGTTTTGATTCTACAAAAAGTAGGGAAGACCTGGTTGTTAATACACTGGGATATGAACCAAATATCCAGCTTCAACGTACATCTTTTAGTGGCTAAGCGCATGTATTGTAGAGCCAAGTTGACCATAGCGTCAAATATAAAAATCCACTAGGAAACTAAGTTCCTGTAGCTGGCTGTATACCATATATCACAAAAAATTTATTTAAAATCCTTTATAAAAGGTATATAATAAAAAGGTATATAATAAAGGTATATATTATATACCTTTTATAAAGGATTTTATAAAAGGACTTAAAGAACACTTTTCAGCTTAAAATATTAAAAAAGGAGATCTGTAACCATTATAGTAAGCTCAACTACATATATTGTATATTATATACCTTTTATAAAGGATGTTAAATAAATTTTTTTTAAAATATTAATTATTTTTATTCCCTTCACCTTCGTTGCTGATACGTCCATGATTGTATTCGCAAATAGGTTGTAAAATTTTATTAAACCTATCGACTATCTCAAAATACGGAAGAACCGACTTATTAAAGACGACGGTTTAGGTAATCCTTGGTTAATTCCTTCCGACTTTAAGGCCGGGTTCCTTTATGATACATTTGATAAATATCGTCGGGGGCACGTTATAATGTTTTTTTATAATAACCTAATCCAAAGGATTTTATTTTCTTCTCGTACCAAATTACCTCAAACTTTCCGATGGTCGTTAGGACTTTATCTTCTTAGAAATAGATACAGGCTGGCCTATAATTTTTAAGTGGGAGATATCCCTTCTTTTTTTTGGAGGAAGTTTGTGAAAATTTTAGAGGAACCAAGCTACTTTGTTCCTCTAAATATATGGTATATCTAATATCATATTAGATTAAATATTGGTATAGAGTACCTTTAATTTTAATTAACTTGAGTGCCTAATACAACTAAAGTATTATAGTAAAGTAAATTAACTTTAGTGCAGTGTAGTAGTCATCAGTAATTACTGTAAGTTATCATAATCATAGTATCTCCACTTATCTGGGCGAATAATATGGTATGGTATCACATTATTATCTTCAACTATCTGGGCGAATCTAAGTTCATCCATTTCTTCACCTGTAGTTAAGAGTAACTACTAATTTTTGCATTCAATTTAAAGCATATTTAATATTTTCTTACGAACTTTCTATCAGCTACTAAGAAATTCCAATAAATAATAATTACGAATATTTAGTTATCAATCAATCATTAAATGACAGTGCGAACAGATAATCGATAACAGAAACCAAGTGCGGTTTGGTTAAATTTTTATTTCTGTAATATTTTGTATTTTTTGAATTTAACTTTAATTAATTTTGTGTGCTTTGTTATTAATTTTTTATTTACTATACCCAATATCTCGAGATATGCCTATTAAACAGCAAAGGGAGACTTTCTTTAATCAACTTCTGTTGAATTTTTTTCTTACTCACAATCAGGCTCTCTTCGCTGATAATTGAACCTGTGCATTATTATATTGTTGTATTTGAAAAGGTACTTATTATTCATATTACTGCTTACTTTTATATGTATACAAGATCAATTCATGGTGCATTTTTTATTACTTTTGTGTACATTCAGCCGCCTATATCGTTGTGTTGTTGAATATATTGTGTTTGTTTTATGTGTGATTTTTTTGTCGACTTTTAACAAGTTTCCTGATATAACAATAACTTTGAATATTTTTTTTTTACCTTTAATTATTATTCTACCTTCGAACAGAAGAAAGAACAGGCTGATTTAGTTTCGTAGGTAAGTAGGTGGACGAGGTTCACCTAATATATTTATTATTTGTTTCTATAGTGTGTTGACCCAATTTATTTAATAATTAACTATTGATATCTTTCCTTGGATTTGGTCTCCGAACCAAAATATCTTTTCTTATCTCTTTTCTTTCTAAGGTTTCTTAATTTTCTCCTTAAACCCCAAAAAATTAAGTGGCGCCCTGTTTCCATCTTATCGTATCTTTAGTAATTTTACCCATCTATCTTTTTATTTATTTCTGTATCTTTTGTAAGATCTCTTATCCTGTTCAATCATTACTTATTTCGTCCGTCGGACCCATTCCCGGTTCCAAGAGCTAGTTTCGAACCCATGACTCGCTCGCCACCAACCATCTGGCTGCCGTCCGCAGTGTCTCCATTGGTGACCTTTCTAGCACTATCCAAAAAGGGTTTCCAAGGCTACACAACTGCTGTGCACGATGGCGGATAGGATGATTCGTGTCTTTCTCTATGCTACGCTTTACATCAGCAACAACTTCTTCTATAGCACTAACGACAAGTCCGTGAATGCGTATTATCGTTTAGAGTAAACGCGGTGCAAAAAAGTTCCATGGTTAATCGAATTAATTGCTCTGATTGACGATTAAGTTGCCCATAAAATGGACGTAGTGTGCGATACGTATTTCGAACTGAATCATGGTTGTCAAAATAAATTTTCACAATTTGGAAGCCTTGTTTAGGCGTCAGACTATATGTGCTGATGTGCCAAACCAAACCTAATATAAACCACTTGACAACTGTCAAAATGGCCGCAAGTTAAAAAAGTGTTGCCAACTAACATTCCTATACCTCTAAAAAACACCCTTTATTACTAACATTTAACTAATTCATCGAGATATAGTGATTATTAAGAAATATATAATGGAAATACGTTATCACTAGGTATATTAAGAGCTTAATATTGACTAATGAATGATTACACTCTATAGTAATAGAACGTCTGGTAGAAATCTAGATATAAAAGTAAATATTAAAGACATAAGGAAATAATTGTAGACGGCAAAAAACCGGAAACTGGAGGATCTTCGATAGAGCTACAGTCGAAAATATGAGGATGCAGTGACATAAGTAAATTTAGATAAGTATGTAGATTATCTTCCTAAAAGGTGTTATGATAATTTCAAATTTGCTCCAAATTATTTATCATAAAATAGGATAATCGTAAGTAAAGAAATAAAAAAAAGTTTTAGATGTAAGACGAACGTAATGGCAAGACGATCATTAATAATATCATTATGATGTATTAAAAAACTTTTTACAAGACACAGTTCGCTCCATTCAGTCGTAGAAAACATTATGGGCCCTTTTTCTTCAGTATTACATTGAGAAATCTGCATGAACACAACGAGAATTATCTTATTGCTTTGAGTTAGCGTTGAACAATTTTACTGGAGGTCCTTATATTATAAAACTTTAAAATATAGGAAAATGGATAATAGATAATACATTTTTTGTATAATATATATATTTATTTAATAACAATTTGTATTTGGTATACAATTTAATGTTTCTGGGTCAAAACTCTCTCTTGATTTGCACCTAAATAACATCAATCTATTTGTCCACATTATTTTCACACATTCGTAATATTCGTTACACTTAGCACCACGAAATTTTGTAGGCATGGAGCAAGCTGATAATTGTGGTGGTACTAAAAATAATAAGAGACATTAGTTAAGAAGATCTGGAAGAAATTTAGAATATTAACACATAATAAAAATTAATTAATTACAGGTTTTTAATGATAGCGGATGGATACTCTTATACGATCCCCGTATAAGACAGATCTATTTTAGAAACGAGACTCTTCCCTTAAAATCTATAATTATTTCTTAATTTCTTTAGGAGGAAAAGTCGTATTCCAACCCAAATTCCTCTTAAAAGAACCATATCGTTACACATCCTATTCAATCTCCAAAAGTTATCCTAACATAGCAAAGAATCATTGGGGGAAGCAACGGGAAACTACCATAATTATATTATTTCTAATCATGTACTCGGATCACGGAAGCCAAGATCCAGGGAAGGAGGACATACAATATTAGACTGTAGCGTTTTCATGGTCGTTATGACACAAAATATCTACAGTTTAAGACAAAACCGCACTCTTAAACGTTTTCGGGAACCTAAGTAGGATAGGTACATGAAATGTAAGTGTAGTCATGGAGAAAGGAGGACGATACACATCACAGAAACGCAGTTTAAATATACATTAAAAATATGCGTACTAGGACGGTCTGATAAGTACTTAGCCTACAAAAGAAAAACGAAAATTTTGGAAAAGTGGCGATTTATTTTTCAACATAGTTTACGTTTAGCTTGATACACTTGACCCATGTGTTTTAACTTTTTACACTCGTCCGAAAAATACATTTTCTTGAGGTCTGCAAAGTAGGCTTCCCTGGATTTCTGCCCGGCGAGTGCCTTTTTTAAGAGTGAAAACAAAAAAAGTTACGCGGGGTTAAATCTAGAGAATATGGTATATGGGTTAACATTTCGTAGCCTAATTTGACTAATTTCGCTGTGGCGACGGTGTCGGTACAAGCGGGTCCATTATCATGGTGAAAGAGCACTTTTTTCTTTGCTATATGGGGATATTTTTCTACAATTCGGCGTCGAAACGGCTCAATAATTTGGAGTAATAGATTATCCAATAATGGAGAATGGCTTTTTTTCCATTCTTCAAGTAGTGATTACCCCTTGCAAATCCCAGAAAATGGTGGCCATCGCCTTTCTAGCCCATAGGTCAATCTTTGCTTCCTTCGGAATGGATTCATGTTTCGTTAAAGTTTATAAAACGACGTAGAAACTCCGTCGCATTATGCTTAAATAGCGTCAAACAGCTTGTTGTCTGGAGTGAGTAAACGCGGCAATCATCGCGCCGACAGCTTTCTCATTCCCAAACTGTCATGCAAGATATGATATTCTTGGTCTTTTGAGCTGGTTACTGTCTCAGCTATCTTGAGTACGTTCAGTCGGCGGTCGGTCAATACAATATCATGAAATTTTGTCACGTTATCCTCCGTAGTAGCCAATTTTGTGGCACCTGGGCGGGGCTTATCAAAAACCGACGTGCGATTACGTTGAAACTCGTTAAACCAATTTTTGAGGGTTTTCATCAAAGAAAAAGAGTCACTGTACACAAAATTAAAGCGGTCTTTAATTTCGCTGTGCGATTTCCCTTTGCAAAAATAAGAATCGAATAACCTACCGATATTGCTTTTTTGTCATTTTTCTAAAATCCGCGGACGTCCGATGCTATACGTAGTCGAAATAAAACTAATAGACCGATTCAGCTGAAATTTTGACAACAGTCGTCTACGAGAATGTATGACACAATAGTAGATTTGCTTTAAGATTTTGGAGCCATCGGTCTCTAAGGCTAACTACTTATGGGACCGCCTACATATTAGTTACATAATAGTCTTGATCCAATTAAATAGCAGACCATTTAGTGTAACTTAAAGACATTAAAGAAATTGGGGTCTTTGAAGTAGTAAATACTTTCATATATCTGGGGTCCCTAATAACAAATGATGAAGGGTGTGACAGAGAAATACGTAGAATGTTGACTATTGCTAGAACAGCCATGATGAAACTGATAACAATTTGGAAAAATTCTAGCATAACAATACACAAAACTAAGGCTGGTAAGGGCGCGCTCATTTTTCCCATAGCCACATATGCATCCAAAACGTGGACCTTAAAGACAGCAGATAAAAATAAACTGGACGCTTTTAAAATGTGGGTATACCACCGCATGTTGAGAATATCCTGGATTGATCATCGCACTAATGCATCGATACTAGAACAACTTAAAGTAAATGATAGATTGCTTAAACAAATACAACAGAGATATTTTGCAGTATTTTGGACACATTGCTAGAAGAACAGGCACGATGGAAAAACTGATAGTCGAGGGTAGAGTTGAAGGAAAAAGACTTAGGGGAAGATTTCCAAGCCGTTGGGTAGATCAAACAAAAACATTGATTAACCAAGGGTTACATGAAGCCGAAGAACTAGCCCAGGACAGAGAAGGATCGAGGGAAATCCTAAAAAAACTGTGAAGGCCTGATGGTGTCACCACATCCCGAAGGGGATTAGTGCTGAAGAGGAGGAGGAGGAAAGGTCGAAGATCTGACGTGGTAGGCGAATATGGACAAGGAAAGGGCAATGAACGAGGCGATATGTTTACCTAAGTAGCTATGTTAAGAACACGATATGACAATAACAAATACCTGGTATAAACTATACACCAGAAGCATGTATACACGAAAAAAAAACAGAAGATAATCCACATCATATAATCAGAAATCAGATTATATTCTAGATAAGAAAATGAAAAGTGATGTCAACAGAATATGGCATATTATAGTACGTGTAGTGATTCAGGCCACAATCCTGACATCAACACCTAACATCAAATTCAAGCTCAAAGAAGTTTCAACCAATTTCCAAAACACCAAAAATAAATATAACAGAGGATAACAAAAAACAAATAAAAGAAGATCTAAATAACCAGCTTAGTAAAACAACATACGAAGGTGTACAAATATGGACAATGTTTAAAAAGAATATCTCACAAATAATGTAAAACATACTAAAAATAATCGAAGATAATAATAGCAATGGATAACTAAAGAAATGTTTGAATTGATGAAGTAGAAATAACAACAGAGTAAATGCAAGAAATACCATAACAAAAGATAAAGATCGCGAAAGAAAAGTGGATGGAGGATAAATACATTGAGATGAAAGACTTAAAATACAAATATGACTCATTCAATATGTTATAGAAAGCAAAAAAATATTTGGTCTGAATCATAGGAAAACTTTTTATACACTCACAGACTCGACAGGGCAAATCATAACAGATACAGACATAATTCGGACAACTTTGTATACGTAAATACATTAACTATTTAGTCAGACAAGAAGAACAACAGACATTAGGTGAAGATTAGAATTACTAAAGGTATAAGTACTGTATGCTATAAAATTGTCAAAGCACAAGAAAGGTGTAATCCTTGATTATATCCCGGAAGATATGTTAAAACTAATTAACGTTTAAGGTTTTATATCATGTGTAATTTACGGGTGAAATCCCAGAGGACTGTTTAGAGTCCGGATTCATAACTTTACCAAAAAAACAGCTCCCGAAATACTGTAGCGACTAGAGACTGTAGCGTGTGACAAAGATCAAGACAAAACGCAGTTTGCTAATCCGTGCTATTTCCATCTAACGTGATCACAGCCATCACTTCCAATAGAGATTTCTCACCTTGTTATCATTTTTGCCGAGTCCTTTTTGCTTTGGATCTTCCATGAGAATGTTATACTTAACGTTATCTAAATCTTCCTCATAGTCTATAAAAGCGACGCCGACGTAAAGATTTTTTTGTTGATATCAACATTTTTAAGCAAGAATTGTCAAACCATATAGAGCTTCACTTGTTTCGAAGCCATTATGAAAACCAAACTGTCTGTTACTGATATCCGCTTTTTATTTTTCTAAAATATTTATATATATATATATATATATATATATATATATATATATATATATATATATATATATATATATCACATTTAAAAATAGTTTTAATAATTGGAAAATTAAATTGCTCAATCTATTACAGTGTTTAGGTTCTTAGTTTTTGGTAGCGGAACAAAGCTCGGTAGTAGACATTCTTTAGATCTCTCGCCAGATTTTTATATGTTGTTAAAGAGCATAGTTATTGCGCTTAAATTGTCCTCATCTATAAGTTTAATTAGCTCGATGTGAACTTTTTCCGGTCAAGGGGCTTTATCAGATTTCGAGTTGCTTATAGCATATTGGACTTCAGATTATGGTATTATTGGGGTTTCCTCGCTATCTATTTTTGTTGGTTACCTCCTTGTGTTCTTAAAAGATTTTCAATATACTTAGTCCATACTAAATGTTTTTTATTCATGATTTTCCAGATAATTTTTTAACTTTTTTATATAAATTGTAATTATTTTGATTTTTTTTCCTGTAATTCCTCTATATCAATGCATGTTTTCATCATTTACTATGCCTTGATCTCTTTTATTTTGTTCCTTGTTAATTTTTGTTTTTCTATATATTTATCTGAGTTTGATTTTTATATTTTTTCTTTGTTCTATAATTTCCAGTATTTCGTGAGTCATCCAAGATATGAGGCTTGTTACGCGTTTTGTTTCAAATCTATCCTAACCATTGCTCTAACCATCCTGTGGTCACACATTATTTTGCAATTATTTAACACTATTACGTTAGTTACTACTTTTTTATTGGAAATAAAGAAGAGTATTTGTGTTTATGCGTCGTGGATTATCCAAGTCTATATTTTGTATTCTTTTTGTGGAAAATGCATTCATTAAATATAGTTGATATGTGAGAGAAATATAATTATAGTACTGCGTCTATCCTTTCTGACCAAAATTCCAAATGATCCGATTACTCCCTCAATTTTATTAAGTCGTTTTGAAATTCTGGCGTTGATTTTTTATTTAAAAGTGTTTTCAAATCTATTGAGTATCAACAATAAAAAAGTAGTTACATTGAATAAAGACAAAAAGGATTTTACCTACTGGTAAAATCAAAGTAGACTTATTATAAAATGATATAGGAAATACATAGATATACATGTTATAACTACAAACTAATTATTGTTCCGAAGCTATTTTCTTGTAGCATTTTAAATTAATTACTATTTAACTGGGAATAAGTCACAATTTACTGTTTGTATTTTGAGAACGATTTCCGAAGTGGAAATTAAAACGTCAATAAACGTACTTTATCCTTTAATTCTGTCTTATTCCCAGTTAAATAGTAATTAATTACAAACTAATTAGTTTACAAGTTTACTCTAAATGGTAAGTTCAGTGGGTTTAATCTCTTTCATCTACGTTGTTCCTGGAAATTGTCTAGGAGGTTAAGTACAAATTGGTTTTCATGATCTTCCAGCATCGTAATGTATGCAATACTAGATTTTTTAATGACTATGTACCATATCTATTTTAAGGTAATGATAAATAATTCTATTGTTGACGTATAACGGTGCATTGGTGATAGTTCGGTGAATTTTTGATTGGAAGCGCTGAATAATTTTGTGGTTGGAGTGATTGGCTTTTCCTCGCAGTTTCTACCCATATGTCCAGATGTATGTAAGTATTGCCTTATAGAGCAGCAATTTAATATCTAGAGATGAACTTTTATGAACGACCCATTAACTAATACATATTTCTGAATTAGAGACTAGTTGCTTTCTCCAAATACGTTTCTTCCATGTGAGATTTCTGTCCAAATAAATACCAAGATATTTTAACCCGTTAGCTGAAGGTAATTGGTGATTATTTAAAGTTACAGTTGGGCGTGTTGCTCTTCGAGTTGTTAATGTAACAAATAGATTTTCCTTCATTAAATTTTATTTCCCATTTTTAAAACCAACCTTGTATTCTGTTTAGATACGCTTAAAGGAGATGCGAGGCATAAATAAGGTTAGCATCAGGTTTGGATTACTGATTTCTTCTGCAGATGGTCTCTTCTCTAGTGCTTCCTAAAGAGTTGTAAGTATATTTGTGGTAAACAGGAGATATCAGGTAGGTCCCAGAACGCTAGCCTGTGGTGCGCTAGCCTTGATAAAATAAAGTTTGGAAGTTGCATTTTGATATTTAATTAAGTAACGCCTACCTGACAAATATGACTCAAGAATAATGTAAGCGGTGTTCGATAATGTCCTTTTTAGGTTGTAGAGGAGTCCTTTATGCTACACCTTGTCAAATACCAGCCTAATGTCCAGAAACGCCGCTGAACAGTATCCCTTGGCCTTAAAATCGCCATTTATATGTTTTATCAGTCTGTGAACTTGTTGGATTATTGAGTGTTGAAACCGAAATCCTAACCCGTGGTCTGGAATTAGGTTTTTGATCCAGAGTCTTTTGACTAATAGTTTTTCGAATACTTTAGATGTGATTGGCAAGTGGCCGATTGGTCTGTAGAATGTAGTTTCTTTTGGAGACTTTCCTGGTTTTAGAATTGTTATTATCCGAATAATTTCGGATCTACACTGATCGGGCAAGTAACCTAAGCTTAGTATGACATTGAATATAAACGTTATAAGTTTTATGCAGTTGGCAGGTAATTTTTCAAAACATTTTCACTGATCAAGTAACACCCTGGAGTTTTTGTAGATTTATCATTATCAGATCATTTAAATTATTTATTAATAGCTAACGTGACTTAAAACGATTTGAATTTTACAATAAACAAACTCATCTGATAGAAACTTTTAAGAATTGAGGATACGTCTACTTCTAGAGGTGAATCCATCCAGTGGGGAGTAAATAATTCGGAGAAATGTAAAATAACATGTTTTCTCTTGTGCACTACGTGCTTTATACTCTGTTCGATTTTCTGATAAGAGGTGACGGTTTCTGTGGTTCTTTCAGCTTTCTTATAGCTTTTCATGGTGAGTAATCGCTATCTTTGGTATAATCTAAATTTTAAATTAGGACTGAAGTGACTGGTTTTTGAGGTCTTGGAACAGTTTTTGAAATTTTCTTGTTGCACTGTTGAATCTATGTTTATTAGCAGGATCTCTAGTCTCTTGCCATTTTTTTCAATGTTTTCTTTAGCATATTTTTTTCTTTAACTATTGGTGGAGTTTCCACAGTAAAAAAAGGTCCTCTTTGATTTTTAGTGGAATATTTAGGGACACTTGATTCTTCAGAGTAGATCTGAATTTTGACCAGTTTTTGCATTAGTTATGAAGTACTATATCTCTGAATATTTCTTTATAAATACTTAGGTTCTAACTGTAAATAGTATAGGTGAGTGATCAAACCAAGAATCCGTAGTATGATGTAGCTTAGTCCTAGGGATATTCCTAAACACAGCAAAATTCACGGGGGTTTTATTTCTATCTGAAAGCCAGTATGTCGGTTTTGCTGGTTAATACATAATCCATATTATTTGACTCTATGATATTGAGGAGAATTTTACTTTCTCAAAATGATTAGTCTTGATCCCTACCTGGCATGTTTGGTATTTAGTCCCCTGCTGAAATCTAGTGGCTCCCAAGAGAATTGTAATGATTTTTAAATTATTTCTTGGTGATATAGTATCGAGGGGGACAATACAGCGCAGATATTGTAAGTAGTCCATTCCAAATTTTTAACCACAATATTTTTCGCTTAAATATGATTTGTTTTATACTCGACACCATTATGATGTTTTATTTTATTTCTAACTATAATTGCACAGCCTCCACGTGCGGATCCATCTGGGTAATTAGCAGTATATATAATATAGTTTTCAATCTTAAGTTAACTTTTTTATGTAAAGTGAGCTTCGAATACTAGCAATATATCTATTTTATAAAGATGTAGAAAGCTAGCAGTTAAGAGATTTACTGTTGTGGCCATTTAATCTACCAATTGTTTGATAATATTTATAAGTTAAAGCATGCAAGTGGAGTGTTGCAGACTGGGAACCTGATTACCAGCAGTTGCTATCTAAGCATAGGTCACATCAGAAACTATTAAATGTTGGTTTGATTAGACAGACTTACATGTTGTTAATGCTGGTTTGCTTCTCTGCTGTTATAAAAATGCTCTTGTTTGCAGCTCTTTGTGGGCTAAGCACCCATGATAGTTTGCTGTGTTATTTACTTTACACAGCATTCATTTCACCTGGTTGTTTCTTTCTTTGCAAGAACACTGATCAGAACTGTGGTTAACCACATATTTACCACATCTGGGTGCAAGAAAGTACATAATTTTTAGTGTAGCTGTAGCGTTGGCATTTTATGCACTAAGTTAAAACAAGTTTCTTGTGAACAATTTTTCATGGTGTGAAAAAATTTGACTGCATTCAGTAACTGCAAGGGCTGCGTTGTCGTTCTCGTAAAATTATTCCAGTTCTTCTTCACCGACTGAAGATGTGGGTGTATATACTTGGATAATTTTCATTTTAAGTTTGATGTTTAGGCAAAGTATTAAGTACACTATACTCTTATACACTACCCTATACTCTATCCCTATAGAAAACTAACGGATAATTAATAGAAGAATATACGACAAGGTAACTTACTTGCGTGAGTCACTTGCTTCTCGTCTAGGGGCCCATGAAGACATTCTTAGTAGACAAACAAAACTGGACCACGAATAAGGTGTTATAACATTTATTATAAACAAAGGATATAAATCTAAATTTCCACACGATCATGAAAAATTTCACGCTTTTGTACAAATTTTATTAGAACCGTGCGTATGTCTGAAAAGAAATCTATAATGATATTATATATTTTTTGTGAGCCTGTAGCCAGTAGCGACTGGATATTGACAGTACACTCTTGGAAACGCTTGCAATGCTTATACTATAATATCTAAAGTTTTTCATTTATAAAGCAGTCTAAATCATCTATGGATTTATACCTTTTACCTATGAACCGAAAAAAGAGGATATGCCCTGGCTTGGGAATAATCCATTTTTCATCTCGGTTTCTGATTTTGCTAATTTCAAGCTAATAGTTCTTAAAGTTCTAGTAATTTATTCTCTATCTATAGGCTCCTAACGTGGTATGTAGAGATATTAAATTTTCGAGAGTATTTGCGTTTCTGTATTGGTCCGTGTGTCACTAACCTCTCCCAGAAAGTATTGGGTACACTGTTTTATTAAACGTAGATGGTCTTAATCCGCATTTATATAGAAGATCCTAATTTGAAATAAAATGTCAAAAATATCTATAACACACTATGAAAATGCAAAAATTTACACAGAGATATAGATATAGTACTACAAATTTTATTTAAAACTAATACAGTGAATTTTTAAATTATGTGATTACAGTGATGTTTATTAATTTTTCATTAAACCATTTTTTGTAATCTTATTTGATATTACTAAGTATTTAGAATTATTTGGGTAATTTTATTGTTTTAATATTTTAAATCTCTTTATGTAATCAAAATTATATAATAAAATGCTAAAACAAGTAAAGTTACAAATTTATTTGACTTACCTGTTGAACGTGTCGTGGATGGCATTTTAAAGTTTGTAAAGATCCAAGGGGATGAAGTCTGGATGTACAAAGATGTTGAAGGGCTATCTGTTATTGTAGAAATTGTAGAACTATCTGTAACGCTGGTAAAAATGTGATTACTTAAATCTAAGTTATCTTTAATACTCGACGTTTTAACTGGTTTATTTTTAATTATTTTAACTTTAGACTTATCGGTAACTTTATTAACGACTTTTATGGTATTCGTTGTATATAGATTATTCCAACCATCTTCTTCAGGCAAGTGCTCTGTAACTGGTAGTAAAATATCATTTGTTCTAGTATATAAACTTATCTGGTGGCGATGCAATTTTATTTTGTTAAGTTTAGAATTCGTACTTTTTGTTGGAAATGGTTTTGTTGCAGCTTTCTTTTTAATTTTCTGGGTTACTTTTCTTAAAGGGTGTTTTGTTGGTAATTTTCGTACTGGTTTCTTCCTAACATTTATGTGTTGCTTTGTAAAAAGATTTATATCTGATGTTGAAACTTGTTGTACTGCTTGTATATAATTGGGTGTAGAGGAGTTCTTAGTTTTCTTATGCTTTTTCTTTTTATTAATTTTTTTCTGCAATTTATTTAAATACATCTTAACTTTGGTCAATAGCGTTTTTCTTTTGGACTTTTGAGCTTTATTTTTAGTTTTGTTTGGTTTCTTTTTGTGTTTTATTTGTAAAATCCTCTCAGTTGTTGGTTTTGTAGTTAACTTTGTGTTTTGCTCTGTTGTAGACTTAGTAGTCAATAATGCTTCGGCCTGGGTTGGTGTCGTAATAAATGTCTCATATTGTTGAATAAAGGGAGTTATGTTAACAGCAGTACTACTTTGATTCTTTAAGGTAGTTTCAGTTGCCTTGGTAATTTCGTAATCTAAAAATAAAATTAACTAAACTAATGTACACACCTCCAAAAATTGGTATTTTACAAAACATTTAACAAAAAATACCGAATTCAGCAGTATACAAACAAGCAAAATTTAATCACAAGTTTTCTGTATTTTTGCCACAAGAAAATCTTTAAAAATAATATTAAGTGCAAGAGGTAGAATAGTTATAAAGAGTGAAGAAGGTAACTTGCCTATGGGTAAGGCGATCAGGCCTGAAGATGATACTTTAATGGGCTTCTAAACGTGTATATCTTACGACCGAACCCTGCAAAATATTGCAGAATAGGTGTTGTTATTCTATTCTTAAATTAACAGCCACGGGAAACGTCACTGTCTCTGTGATAAAATGTAGGGGAAACTTCGCTACATACTTTTTATCAGCCCATCTGCCAACTGTAACAGCAAAAGTTATGAGTTGCTGCAGTTAATTTTACAGTGAAAAGTAGAAGAAAAACGAGGACCAGAAATGCGAAGGATTTGCTGGCTGAAAAATTTATGTACGTGGTTTAACACAACAATCACAAATCTTTTAAGAGCAGCAGATTACAAAATACAGATCGCCATGATGGTCGCCAATATCCGAAACATATAGGCACTACAAGAAGAAGAATATCTGCCAACTTAAAACGAAAAACAGGTGCCAACCCCCTAAAGAAAAAATATTATTGCGTACATACATATACATACTATACGAGAATTTTAATCGTTTAATTAACAAAGAAATTGTTTTATGCCAACCTTTGGCAGAAGACGGAACATAAAGAACATAAAAAACAAACTACATTGCTACAGGATGGACATGGTAAAGTAATATTTGAAGTAGAGGAAAAACTTAAAAAATGGAAAAATTACGTCACGAACCTATTCGAAGACAATAGTAGTAGTTCACTTCCCGATATTACTAACTGCGACGGACCCCTAATAACACGCTCTGAGGTTATAATAACACGGGATAAGGAGCAAATGTACAAAGATCTTAGGAAGGAGGAAAAACGCATACATCGAAGGAAAAAGCGGACCTTCGAAAACCAGATTATGCAAGAGCTTCAATCATTAAAGGGGCAAAATGAAACTAGAAAGTTCTATAATATCCTAAATAAGACAAGAAAAGAATTTAAACCACGGCTGACGATGTGTAGAGACAAAATGGACATACAGTCAGTACAGCTACCGCAATACAAAGCAGATGGGTTGAGCACTTCAAAGAACTACTTGGTACCGAAGTGGAAAATGATGCGTCAACCCAAAGACCAAGAAATAACACTTACGTAGAACCTCCTTCAATATTTGAAGTGAAAGACGCAATCACACGACTCAAAAATAGCAAGTCCCCAGGAGTGGATTGTATCCCCACAGAGCTCATCAAACATGGAGGTAACAGCATTATGCACCAAATTCACAACATAATAGTCAAAGTCTGGGAAGAAGAACAAATGCCAGAGGAATGGTGCACTGGAATCATATGTCCACTGCACAAAAAGGGAGATTTGTTGGAATGTAAAAATTCTTCTTCTTCTTTCAGTGCCTATTCGTTCCGAATATTGGCAATCATTCTGGCTATAATTATTTTATTGACTGATGCTTTAAATAGATTTGTTGTTGTTGTGGAGAACCATTTCCTCAGGTTCTTCAACCATGATATTCTCCTTCTCCCAATTCCTCGCTTTCCAAATACTTTACCCTGTAGGATTACCTTCAGTAATCTGTATTTAGTGCTGTTTCTCATTATATGTCCGAGATATTCCAACTTTCTCTTTTTAATGGTATACATCACCTCTCTTTCTTTGCCCACTCTTCGTAATACGGTCTCGTTGGTTATCTTGTCTGTCCATGATATCCTTAGAATTCGCAATGTAAAAATTATAGGGGTATAACTCTTCTGAATACAATGTACAAAATATTCTTCAACACCCTGTACAGCAGTTTAAGTACGTACGTGGAAGAAATCCTTGGTGAGTATCAAAGCGGTTTTAGACCAGGTAGGTCAACAATTGACCAGATTTTTGTGCTACGTCAAATCTTAGAAAAAACCAATGAATTTAATATTGACACGTTCCATCTCTTTGTGGACTTTAAGTCAGCATATGATAGCGTCCTAAGAGGTAAATTATACGAAGCCATGAATGAACTTAACATTCCCCATAAATTAATAAGGCTCGTAAAAACAACTATGAGTAAAGTGATGTGCAGAGTGCAAATATAAGGCGATATGTCACAAGCGTTTGAAACATATGCAGGGTTACGACAGGGAGACGCGCTGGCGTGCCTTCTCTTTAATATAGCGTTAGAAAAGACTATAAGAGATGCCGAGTTACACAATAGGGGAACAATCTTTAATAAATCAACGCAGATTATGGCTTACGCTGACGATCTGGATTTGATCGCACGTACTACGCGAGGACTTAAAGAGATGACTTTCACCTTCTTGACAGCCGCACAAAATATGGGCCTTAAAATAAACGAGGAAAAAACCAAAATGTTAGCATCTATTCCAAATAACAGAGATAGAGCTAGAAACGCCGAACAAAACTTCAGTATAGACCAATATAATTTTGAGGTAGTAAATAAGTTTACATATTTGGGTTCTCTCATAACAAACGATAATGACACATCTGAAGAAGTTAAACGGAGGGTACTGCTAGCAAACAAATGCTATTTTGGACTAAGCAAGCAGCTAAAAAACAGAAATTTAAGCCAAAAAACCAAACTAATAATATATCGAACGCTCATCCCACCAGTGCTGACGTATGGGTCAGAAACATGGACCATCTCGAAAGACTTCGAAAGGAAGATACTAAGAAGAATAATGGGCGCATTCTGTGAGAATGGTATTTGGAGAAGGCGATATAATTTCAAATTGTACGAGAAGTATAAAAAAATAGTAAATGGTAGAGATGTAATATCCTTCATAAAAATAGGTAGGCTTGGATGGGCTGGACATGTGTCAAGAGCAAATGAAAATTACCCACCCAGACGAACTCTATTATCGGTCCCAGTGGGAAATAGGAGTAGAGGCAGACCACGACTGAGATGGAGGGACGGTGTGGACGAGGACGCAAGGAAAATCGGCGCGGCAAATTGGCAACGGTTGGCGATGAACAGAAACGACTGGCGAAATAGACTGGGGAAGGTCAAGGCTCAACTAGAGCTGTAGCACCACTGATGATGATGATGAGGTTATAATAGTTATACAATCATCAAAAGATGGCAGAGCGACTGGTCCTGATAAAATTTCAACTGTAATATACAAGCTTATAAATGATAGCAATGTTTTAGAGGCTATAACTTCGTTTTTCAATACCATTTATACCAGCGGAAAACTACCTAATGGTTGGTCTAATTCACTGTTAATAGCTCTACCTAAGAAGACAATAGCAAAAATCTGTGCTGATCATAGAACCATCCGTTTGTTAAACCTTCTTTTTCTTCTTATAGTGCCGTGTACCTATAGTACGTTGGCGAATTATCTTAAGGCCAGACGTCTGTCTTTTGCGGCATGCAGAAGATCGCCAGTCGTTATTTATGCCAGTCCAGTTCAGGACAATCTTTCCCTGGATGATTGGTTGAGGGATTGCGTATATTTTTCCTCTCAGAATATGGCCGAGGTATCCAATTTTTCATACCTTGATCTAATTGAGTAGTTCTCTCTCAGTATTTGCCTTACTTAAAACTTCCTCGTTTCTCACCCTATCTGTCCATGGTATGCGTAACATTCTTCGCAACATCCACATTTCGAAGGCCTCCAACTTATTAATGGAAGGTAATCTTAACGTCCATGTTTCCATGCCGTATAACAATATGGACCTTACATAGCATTTAACCATCCTGTAGCGGAGATTAAAGGTAAGATTGCGGTTACATAGTAGCGGTTTAAATTTGATAAAAGCTTTGATAAAAGCTCTTGCTTCTTCGGTACGGCATTTTGTTAAACCACTTATTGAAAATTTTTCTGAAGGTAATACATGGTCGTATCTACAATAAATGCAAGGAATACCTGGATGAGACTAAGTTTAGTAGTAAACGTACTCACTCAAAGAGGTCTAGATATATCTGTAGACATATACTGTTGTTTTATTGACTTCCAAAAGGCATTTGATCGTGTTAAGTACTCTATATTGATCGAAGCTCTAAAAGACATTGGCTTAGACGGCAGAGATCAAACAACATCCGAAAGAATTTTGAGAAAAGCAATTTTTGAAAAACAAGAAGGAATACTTGTGAACGGCGAAGTTATCAATAATTTGCGATATGCGGACGATACAGTACTCTAAGCTTCTAGTCAAGAAAATCTGCAAACACTATTTGATAGTGTCGTTGAGAGTTGTAGGGAGGCAGGTCTGAGACCTAAAATTGGCATTGAGGATTCGCCTGCGCTGCTACGTGTTCTGGGTCTTACTTTATGGTGTTGAGTCCTGGACTGTAAATAAAATCGATCTAAATTGCATCGAGGCTTTCGAAATGTGGTGCTACAGAAGAATTTTAAAATTTTCCTGGATGGAGAAGATTTACAACACCACAATAATACTAGAACGTCTCAGCAAGACTACTGAGATCAGAAAAAATATCAAGCAGATAAAGCTGGAGTATTTCGGACATGTAATGAGAGGTCCCAAATATAAATTGCTACAAAATATCATCGGACATATAATGAGAAACAGCACTAAATACAGATTACTGAAGGTAATCCTACAGGGTAAAGTATTCGGAAAGCGAGGAATTGGGAGAAGGAGAATATCATGGTTGAAGAACCTGAGGAAATGGTTTTCCACAACAACAACGAATCTATTTAAAGCATCAGTCAATATAATAATTATAGCCAGAATGATTGCCAATATTCGGAACGAATAGGCACTGAAAGAAGAAGACAAAATATCATGTAAGCAAAAATAACAGGCAAGCGCAGTCCAGGACGAAGAAGAACCTCATGGTTAAAGAACTTGCGAGATTGGTATAGTGTTGATACAAGCATGCTATTTAGGATGGC